AAGTAAAATTATCCATATAGATTTTTACTATTCAAATTAATGGGTAATGACTTAACTGAAACAGAATATTTCTGTACCATTTTTATTCTACGTAGTGGTTTAGTTAGAGATTAATATCCAACCAAAAACACTGTCACCTTGTTGATGTAAACTTCATGTCATCAAACCTACTGTTCTTTCTTAGATAACAAAAACTTTGTTTTATTCCATTGATAGACATTTAATAAGTAGTCTGATTTAAATACTGATTGCCTATTAACTCCAAATATATTTTGAGTATATATTGATAGAAGAAATTTTCGTTCCGAGGTATTACTCATGTAAAAGATGGTGTTCCGTGTACTGGATAACACTTGCTCTCAGGTGACTGATACCTATGTATTCTGTATGTAGTTGAGTCAGTAACAAATATAATTACAGTAACTTCATAGTTACCACAGAATGTATTCTGATTAAGTTGATATTGCTCACAGATTGACACTAGTAAGAGAATCACTTGACACCTGGGAGCCCTGGGTAACAGATTTCTCTTAATATGGGACTCATCTGAAGTTCTCGCTATCAACTTTAGTACAGGTCGAACCTAGGACATTCAGGTTCTTTAGCAAGCATGTTAATATTGTACAACTAAGTCAAAATCCAATGATCTATATTTCCCTAATTCTGTCAGTTTGAGATATAATTCTACCTCCATCCATTGCCATTGCTAATTATTTGTCGTCACGTCTGACTTTGTTTGCCCGACCGGTTATAACTTCGGAGATCTCATTTCAAAGTAAGTCACAAACAAGCATTGGACAGTAATTCAGTCTGTAGGTTGATGAAGATTTTGTTGATTTCAAGTAGATATTCATTATGGAATGTTATCTATTGCATTACATTACGACTGAAATTGGCATATATAAACATTTCAAAATTTTACCCATCTTTTTTAGTGTAAACCTTGAAATGATTCTTGCTGCTGCTTGGAGTATATTTCATTATTGTAAGGTCAACAAAACACTCTATCTTATCGGTGATTTCTTTCAACTTACTTCCATTTGAAAGATATCTATGATTGTCTAAAAGCAGTTAACACAAAAGTCCACATTTACACTGAAAATGTATTTTTGCAACAAAGATTTCAATAGTTGTAGTTATATTAACCATTGTTGATACACTTTTGAACTTTCTCAGTATGTGATACTGCAGTAAAAAACCGTCTTCTTTATAGCATTTTCAAACAAAAGTTATTTTAGCATAAAACTATGTTAATTGTATTAGTAATGCAGAGTCCGAGTCCGAGTCCCGGTGGGAACAACATCACTCACTGGGAAGCAGGTACATCCGGCTGACGAGTCTCAAATAGGACGAAATGCGCATGCTGGATTTCACTGCTAGCCACTGCCCATCATTACTAAATGCAGATAATAATATAAAAATGAAACGGTTCTTTACTTACTGTTACAAAAGTGGGGGAAACGTTGTGATTCAACATTTTCTTCTCTTCCTAGAATATGCATACTAGGTCAGACTTTTTAGATCTATGACCATAAATTCTTGTGTAAAAAATTCTTATCTTACCTGAGAAATCACACTGAGAGAGATGTGGGTAAAGAGGATCTCAGAATCCCATATAATGACTGTAGCTAGCTGCATTTTTGAATTCAAAACTCTACCGAATATGGTGTCAGTCACTAGGGCAGAAAGCAGGCCACTAACTCTACTGACAAATCTAAAATCTCTACACAATATAGCATAGTATTTTTGTGCTGCATAGTTACAAGGAAAGTGAACTTTGTCAACTGGATACTGCGTGAGAATGGAGTTTATAATCTACGCTGAAATATACGACTAAATCATAGTTTCTAAACAGTATATTAAACAAGATTAGTGGTCATAGTACAAAATTCGAATCTTCCCTGAGGAAACGGTCATACACTTTAAGAAGTAGGAACCTTCTGGATTTACTTGGTTTTTATTAAACCACCTTCCGCTGGATTAAATAAGCAACCGATTGCTAACGACTGTCGACTGGATTCACTTCAGTGCATTGACCTTATATTCCTGATTTTGGAGCTATGTTCATGACATTTGATGTTGAAGTACACCACCACTGGTCATAAATATTGCAATTCATTTAACAAACAACTATCAAAACATCCTACAGCAGGCCAGTTACTGAAAACATGAGGATAAAATCCAAAGGCAATATGATGCGTGCTAGATTTTCTTATATCGATAATGATGATTTATAATGAAAGTTTTCTATAGCTGAAGGGAACCTACAAAATAAGATCATATCATCATATTCTATAAATGATGTTTTGATCACATTTTTAAGATTTAGAGTGAGTTAAGAAAATCTGATAAATAAGATATAGTGAAGTTTATACACATTTCCGGTTTAAATGTCTGTAGCGCACAGCATTCAAAAATTAGAGCGAAATTGTAACCTGTATAAACAAACTGGTTGTTATAGTGAACGCAACTAGTGTTAGTCTGAATACAATTGATAGATTTTTCCAGTATCATTCATCACTATTAAGCTTATTCGTTAAGAATAATTATACTGCTACACCAGCTAGTTTTTCTATCAACCTTTGTACCCATTTTTAAAACTCCCACAGTCCAACATCTATGATTAATCCAGCTACCAGATACTTTATTTATCCTATGCGAAAGATTAAGCAATACATTATCACACTGAAAACCTCCATTGTAGTTCATACTGCTTATAACCTCACATTGTTTTTATTGCTGTCGAAATGCAATCCAACTCTTAAGTTTTTGTATACACTAAATATGCTGCATAATTTTCGTAGATCTTACAGAAAAAATATTCATAAAAATCTGATTATTTTGGTTCAGACATTGCACCAGTAGTCTAACACTGATTCGTCAAAAAATAAATACCTTAAATCATCTTATACTACTAAATATCTAAAAATTATAAAAAAAATAATTAGATAACCACTTTTTTAAATATCAAAGTTGTCGTTATAAGTTCACAAAAAACAATAAGTGAAAACTTAGAAGTAAACTCCTCTGTGATGTTTATAGATGAACAGAATTCAACTTTATTTGATGACATGACATGTAGTTAGTTTGAAGTCTGATTTTAGCCTCACCAAACCAATTGACTATAGTCCACTTTGCAAAAGTTTCAATTACACTGTCATTAGAAATGTACCTAGATTTTCAGCAATCTTTTTTCTTTATTTTGAAAGATGCTACAAAGATAAGGATGTATAAACTACTTGCTTTGGTTTCAGCTAGCTACTTTTGAAACCAAAAACATAATTTTTTGATTCATAGATAGATTACTGGTTAAAATTAGAAAAACAATACCATAATATAACACCAAAATACTGCAGTGCCTTTTAAATCAAAGTGTAACATACCTCACTTTCCGTAAATACATTCCCCTGAAGTATTTCTGTTTTGGAAACTTGACAGTCTAAAAATGTTCTCATTTCAAACCAACTATGCACAAGCCTTTCTCAATCTTTCTCAATATAAGAATGTTGGTAAGACATCTACAATGTTAGTAAAATTTGGGCGGAGAGCAAACAGCACGTTAGTGGTAGCGTAGCACTCCTGTTAAAGTCGAATTTCTGTAGACATTAGTTTACATGTGTTAACCAAACACTGAGTGAACTATTTTTTAGTAGAATAGGTTGAGATAATTCATTGAAATATGTTGTGAATATTATGCAAATTCATAGGTGAACTGAAACGGTGGTTGCTTAGGATTTTAAGATGTAAGACAAAAACAACAAGAATATTCATTACAGTTATTTAAACAAAAATTGATCAGTCAAGTGAATGTTTGAGTTTGTATAACAACACCTAAAATAACTCCTAGTGAATAGACGTACAGAATGATCCTTACCCTTAAAATATATTACGAAGTAATTGAATTAAAGACGAAAATGGAAAAAAACTGGTCCTCATACACTCAGCTATACTTAGACATCAAGTAATTCCATCATGCAAATAACTTGAGCCAGTGTTCAAAGTGGGAATAGTCATTCATAAATCATGTTACCCTGCACTTGTATAATGATTCTCATCTTACAAATTAAAAGTAAAAACTAACGAAAGATATTTTTGTAACAAAACTTTAGCTGAAAACTTATGAAGAGATAGAAAAGATAATTGAAATTTCTCAAAAGTTATTTTTGGATGCATTCTACAACTGTGATTATACACAGCTGACACCAACGTAAGACTTCATACTATGACGATAAAATAGTTTTAAGTAACCATTTCTTAGTAAATTAAATATCAAGCGGTAAATGAATAATGAGTCAAAACGTAATCGAGGGCTGTTCTTATTCGTCCTCATCTAAGAATCACAACAGTCCACCTGAAGATGGAAGAATTCAGTTTGCCAAGGAATTATATTCTTCCCTTTGTAGGTTGTGGAAGACTTATTGATTTCAAGATGGTACTCATCATGTACTGATATCATGGGGAGAAACACTGGGAACCTGGGGACCATTGACAGCTGTTTCATCACCGTACGGGACTCTTCGGCAGTACACATCTAAGACTTCAGCAAGGATCAAATGTGAAACATTGAGGTTCCACGGCAAGCATGTCACCATTGAGCCACTACGTCAAAATTCAGTAGTCAACATTTCCGTGGCAGGGTCATGGGTGCGCACCGCTGAAGAGCCCCGTATTCGGGCAAAACAGATGTCCAACTAATGTCACTCTGTGATGGATACCGCCTTGAAATCATATTTTTCTCGAAAAGTATAGTTAGTTGAAAGTAAATGACTTCAGAACGGTGGTTAAATCTTGCTGATTTCCTTTCATATGTTCAAATTATTTAATATTTCAGCGGTTTCTTCCTCGAGTTTTTGTAATATTCAACTAATTAGCTACTTTTGGCATACACTTAAAGTTAAAACAGAATTATGAATCTTATTATAGTCTTTGAGAAAAATAATATTTGTATGTTTTTCTCTCCCTTTTATCTGAATTCTGATCAACGCTGTGGTTGAATAAAGATGAAAATGCCTAAACTATTTAGTGTACTACTGTCAGCTGTCCTAATCGTGATAATTGTTCAAGTTAACAGTTTACCTACAGATTCAGGTACGTTAAACTATTCACTGTACAAACTTTTAAATAATTATACCGAATGTTTTGAAGTTTGCGCTACGTGTGACTCTCATTCTTTGAACTGTAAAATACCAAAAAAGTATTAGTTAAAGACCTATGAATGATACATTTATACTATTTGTTATGTGATGCAGTGATATGTGTGTTAACAGTTTTAATTTACGCCTAAGTTTAGTTTTCACGTTAGGTCAAGTGAAACTCTGGTGAAGCTTTACAAGTAGATGCATATTTGCATGAGTAGTTCCAAGTAAGCTGAATAACAGGCAAATGATTCATAATTAAAACGTTTTAAAGGTATAGTTTATTTTGTTAATTGTCCCTGCAATGATTTCTGGTCATTATTGTTCACTTAGTGTAGTTTTATGCAATATCATTATAACAACTAATGTAATTTTTATTCAAATTAGGACAATTCCTCTTGCTCCGAATCCTAGCGACGCTTTTACAAAATATCCCTACCTTTACTTCTAGAATAAATGGTTTCTGCTGTCTTTGTTCTGATGAAAGTCAGTGTATTGGCTTTTTAGGTCTACATTTCGAACAGCTGGTACCATTAGGTTATCCTCCTGTGCATTCTCGATAGTTCACTCACATTTCAATGATGTGAACAGGGATAATTAGGTGACGTATTTAAAAATTTGTATCACTGCATTGTTGAATCCTACTCTTATGGAGGGTTGTCATTTAAAATATTGAAAAAAAACCCATTTGATCATAAGAAAAGACAAAAGACGATTGTAGCAAAGAGGAATTTTTCTTTTCGATGAAATCTCTTTTTTGACTGTTCATTCATGAATATGTAGTAGAAAAGACAAGACATTCCAGAGTAATTTCCGATCAAAAATCAGTATAGATTGCGTGACAGATGAAAGTTACGTAATACACACATGAGTTTAAAGTGGGTAAATGAACAAAATGACTGCAAAATTAAAAACTAGTTACGTCGCTAGGGAATTATCTAGAGTGATACAGACTCTACAATGGCAATGGCAAAGAACAAGGTTGTACGTACTTCTTTTGACTACAAAATGACGGTTTGAACTCTCTTACCGCTAGTGCCTCAGCAGTACACAGAATGTCTCATCCTTACTGAGTTCCATTGTCTTGGTTGTAATTTGTACAAACTTCTGAATAACCTGAGTTTACTAAGTGTTCTATTACAGAGTTGAGGGTGCATTTTCGTTCTTGCCTTTTATAAGCCAAGCTGTGTATTTCTTGCCAGCGCGTCTCACCGTTCGGCACACAGTAAGTCAATGCACTGGGCTTCAAAAGAGCAAGTTAACTGATAAGCAAACAATGATACAGTTCAGTGCTCCAATTTATCCTTTGCATACTGACGAATGAGATTGTGACAGCAGAATATGATTCTAAGATAGATAATAAAGAATGTTCTGTTCATGGATCTTGATAGCCTCTTCTGATGATATCTGCCGCATTGTCTCCTTTGAATTCGAGCTTCAACAGTAGAAACTTTTTTGGTGGAGTATACAAGCGTTCCGTGGCATTTTTCGGTATTAGATTCTTACTTATAAATTTCAGTGGGTATTAGTCTCTCATCTGGAATTCTTGTAAGTTTTCCAATACACCTTCGACGGTATCCTTCGTGAATATTCTTCGTATTCTTAAGGATAGTGAATTGGTAGGGATCCTTTTTCTGTTTAAGGGAAAACATCTTTGAACATTATTGAACTGTCTATTCCAAGAGAGCCTTCTGTATATAGATCTCTGGACTGAATTAACACCTTTTCTTTGAAGTTGGACATCAAGGAAGTGTAATTTCCAGTTTGACTTTCCTTCTAGAGTAAATCGGAGAGGTTTACGGGATTCTCGTTCTCGTCTCAAATAATAAAGTTATCGTCTATGTATCTTTTGCAGATATGTAGCTAGCTCATTATTTGTGCTAAGGTTGCGTTCTCAAAGCTTGCCATAAAACAGTCAAGTAGGAGGGGTTTTAAAGTCGATTTTATTACCATGCCATATATCTGTCTGTAGATTTCATTCTTAAATCCCAAATAGTGATTTTGGATGTCACTGTTTGTTTCAGCTGTGTGTTTATTTGTCAGACAAAAATCAGACTCTTGAATACTGTTGATTCAGTGACCTGAAGACACATTAATTATGTTTGCCCTTGCTTGCATGAATTTCCTGGGATAGTAAGAAAGAAGGATTTATAATAATTTGATTTGACCCATGTTTTCACAGTCAGCATGAAAAACCTTACTTATTTTTATTTCATAAAGCTGTATAGATACCAAGTCTATAGCAAAATATTTTTTCACTTGGTAAGTGCTTATCTAATCAGAAAAGTATTGATAGTTCATCCATAACTTTAAGTGAGCACATATAACTGCAAGAAGGCTCTTTCAAACAGAACGTAACTCAGGGCATAAGAGATCTGTTTTTCGAAAAAAGTTTCTTTCATCCTAAAAAAGATCATTAACTGACAGAAATAAGGAAATGTTGTCCATCTGATTCGAACCCAGTAGCTGAATGGTAACGTGTTAACCACGAAACTAGACTGCCTTTAGTTTAACCTCCTAATGGATTATAGGTGTCTGTTGCTGAGACGTTCAGAGCTAGGACACAACAGCTCTTCAGTGCTCCCAGAATCTGCAAATGATAGCAATGAATAAAGAAAACTACCTCGAAATTAGTATAGCTGAGAAGGCTGATCACTACTTTATTTCACAATTTCCAGTTCAACTTAAGTCATACATACTTCGTAAGCTGTTCATTAAGTCAGACCAAGCTGTCAAACACTTTCTTTATCAGAACTAAAAAAATACTCTTCATACTAACTTTTACATACCACATGAAAAAAAGGGGTGTTAATTCTGCCTCATTTTACCCGGTCAAATGGATACTATCATCGCGTTGAAAACTGAAGTGTCTTGAAAACATAACGTCATATGTGAGAATATGTAAGTAGATGGAAACTAATTACAAAGCTTTACACTGAATTTCTTGAAACATTAAACCATTCAGACTTTTTATATATAATCTACGGGACATTATTATAAGCAGTAGAACTGACAGTATCAAGTCCATAGCGTATGTACTATGATGTGATAATAAGTTTACCAATTGTTTTTCAGTGATTTTTATTGCCTTCACTTTTGATAATAAACACTGTGAACATCTGGTTTGTCATCATTTTGTACCATCATTTTTTATCAAGAAGCCAGCGGAAAACATCGCATTAGATGCTTACCTTTTCTCTTCTATATGTCAATAAAGCAAACATGTTACAAAACTCCTATACAACCATAATCATTGCGTGCATAGGAACTTAAATATCTACCAACACTTCAATGAAATAAATAGTCTTGAAAATACATAAGTAATCAAGTTATCTATACTTATTTGTTGTATAACCCTTACTGTTAGCTGTTAACAGAATGGTTTTAAGTCTAAACAGTCAGTATCGGATGTTTTTCTGGAAATAAATAGAGTAAATTAACTGCAGTTACAAAACTTTTAATTAATTGAAAATTGAAGAAAGCAAAATCAATATCCAAGAGGCTTTCTTTGACATCCAAACACCCAATCAACATATTTCTATGCTGAAATATAATATGGTTTCAATCAGTCGACATTATTTAGCTTCTAATGTATGAACTTCAGCTGTCATATTAAAACTATATGATGAAGGATTACATTCGTATTGCCTATCTTTTTCATTACAAGTGATTTGAATAGTACTCTATTCATTATTTTGAAGGAGGTACATAACGTAAATTAAATTTTCTTATTCCTTTTTAATAGTTTTGACAAAAGTCTACAATACTTTTTTTTCAAAAACTTAATAAGTGAAAATTTAAACAGTTCATATGGTGAACCAACATTTTTTATTTACCGAAAAATTTTTTTGTAAAAACCTCTTTTCTTTTAGATTCTTACGATGGTTTATATGAACCTATAGATGAACGTGCTGCATACCTGAATTTTCAGAGAACACCAAACAAACGTTATATCAGATTTGGTAAACGAAATGGAGTTGAAGAAGATGGATTTCGAGGAGGCCGAAGTTATATCCGTTTTGGTTAGGAGTGAATTTAATATTTTGTTTAAAAAAGATATGACTGCTTCCATTGAATAATAAAACACAGTTTATGATTTCATTTTATCTTTAAGACTATCAATCAATCATAAATATGACAGTATATATCACAAAATAATATTGAATACTGAATAATAAAATTTTGTTTTGATTATCTTCGGTACTTTCGCAGTTTTAAGTTCATAGACTATGCTATCAATTTCAAGTCAATTAAAATTCACTCAGTAAAAACCTTCTAATCAATTCTGTAAACGCTTAGTATACTAGTTCTTTAACTACGGATTTAAAAAAAATACAAATAAATAAACAAATAAAAAATGAATATGGTTATGATGAAAAGCATAGTTCATTCATCGCTTAATTTTATTCCTTATTTCATTAAATTTTAATGCAGCTAACCAAGATGTTTCATTTCATTGATGAAGTGAGTTATCATTTCCGATCCTTATTGATACATGTGATGACATTCAACGCTTAATTCTGGTTTCATATATATATATATATATATATATATATATATATCATCACATTCTAGTTAGTGAACAATCCGATTGCAATAAACTAAACTCTATTTTGAACCAAATGCAATTGATCATATAACTAACTACAAGACAGAACTTGTCAAAATAAACCAAATTGGACATAAGGAGATATATTTGACGATGATAGTGGATGAAAGTCACGCTACAATGTGAATTGACAGAAGTAGGAAAATAGGAATTACTGGATTCTGACTGAGCGGCTCAATGGAAACGTGCTTGCTGCGGAATCTGAAAGTCCTGGGTTCGATCACGGGTGTTTACCGCTGAGGAGTGCCACTCCTTCTACAGGATGAAACAACTGCCCAATGCTCCTAAGCTTTCAGTAGTTCTCCAGCTTATGTCAACTGTTGATGAATATCAACTGCGAAATAAAAAAGCATTTTCTTAAGCATTTGCCACACATTTCAGCTTATTGATAGGATTGAGACTGTTGACACTACCGGTAAATCCATGTTTTCCTTAGATGTCACCTCATTGTTCACCAGTGTACATCTCACTGAAACTGTTTGTTACATGTGCAATTTCATCGATTCACATAATCAACAAGTAGAAATTCTAACAAATTACTTGACTGAGCCCTTGATGAAATGTATTTTTAGTGTATAGTTTAGTTTTAATGAGATATAATGGCAAGATGATGGGACTGCAATGAGATCCCTCTGGGACCACTAATGGCGGATTGCTTTATGACAAAATTGGGGAATTTTAATCAAAATCTACAAATGAATGATAAACAGTTAGTTAACTAATTTCCACAGTAGGATGCCGATCTCAAGGAAAAGAAACCTTATTTACGCACTATGGAATACAAAGTATTTATAGCACAGACTACGTGTAAGTTGAACTTAGCTTTTTAAGAGGTACGCTTGAGGAGAACGGCTATTCTAGCTAATTCGTTGATGACAATGTGCCAGAAAGACATGCGAAGCCAGTCATCAACTCAGTTTCTCAAAAGACTTCGTTCATGAATCTAGAATTTAAAGGTGATATAGCACCAGACATCCTGAAAAATCATCTTTCGAGATCTATTAACAGGATGTTTTTGCAGCCAAACTTTATTTGACCTTTACTAGTTATAATTTCTTCTCCGTATGTGTAAAAGACAATATTCTTCGACACTCTGTCTCCTTGTTTATCTGCCTGTTCAACTGTCTCCCTGTTCCTGTGAATCAAGGTACATCGGCCGTAGCAAGAGACTGGTATTAACACGTATACGAGAACACATTCCAGCCTCACTTTTGGAGGCTGAAATGCATTAGAAGTTCTATTTTTGAACAGCCAACCCCCTACGACCATTTAACCAACCCAGACAATGATTTTAAAGTTGTCTATTGAACTCACTTTTTTTTCTCTTCAACTTCCAAAAACAGCAGAGGTCTTGGCTATCTATGAACTGAAACTTGACTTTTGTGTGCAGAAGACGTACGTACGGCCCTTGTCTCTACTTTGGCACTCAATTTGGTCATAGTATGCTTCGCTTCCCTTTTGTTTTTTCAACTTCCCTCTTTCTTAGATTGATTATTCTTTATGCTCTGGTATCTTCATTATCATTTTTGTTTTTACATTTATTAGTTTCCGGTGTTAATTCATTTGATCTTCCTGATCATTGCAAGTTTTAACGAAACATTTTCAATTTATCCTTATTAACTTTTCCCACTCATATTGCGTAATACTTTGATTGTTTATTAACTCTACTATATTTCCACCCCTTTACAATCTAAGTGCTAATTATAAACGATTCAAGAAATCTTACGTAACCTCTACTTGTTATCATTAAGCCTTTACGTCATCGCCTATCAGATTATTGTGGTAGTACTCACCACGGATTGACATCATTTGGAGGACCATTGAAAACATGGTAGTACTGGACAGCTTTTTCATCCTAGTATGGGACTTCTCAGCAGCACCCGTCCATGACCAGGCTAGGGACCGAACTTAGGACCTTCAGGTTACTCGGGGAACGCAATAACCATTCAGCCACTGAGCAGTTTTGATAGTAGGCAAAATCGTATTCTGTAATCTAGCTATCAGGATGGACCGGAAAAAATTTGCATTGAATTAATAAATGCTGGGAACTATTGGATTTCTTCTAACTGGTAGGTTATGAAATAGGAACTGTCGTTATATAGCCCAGACCCTTTGACAAACGAAGACGGATGCCGATCCCTGAAAATAAGATCTTTCCACTGGTGGAAGAAAGAGAAGATAAAACTAGGGAGAAAATTTTTATTGCTCGGAAAAAAGGCAAAAACTAGCTGGAAATATAACCAAGTCGGAAGTGAAAAGGATGACAAGTGAAGACCATGGATGGTAGTGATGCTATACAACGAATCGACAAAATTAGGAAAATGTGGACCGTCAAACTGTGACCCACTGAGTGAATGGTTAACACGCTAATTGTGAGACCCGAACGTCCTGAGTCCGATCCCTGGCGAAGCAGCAAGTATGAACTATTGATAAGTCCCATGCTAAGATTAGACGAAACAGGTGTCCAGTACTTTATAGGCTGGTAAGGAATACTACCTTAGAAAAATAACTGTTTATATAATTTTTTGATGGGCAATAATTGTGAAGTTCAGTTTCAAGAAATTTTCTTTTAATGCACTAGTTAATAACGAACTGATGAACTGTCAACAACCCGACCTATGACCGAGGTTAATAATGGATTGACAAAATGTGAGTGATACTGAATTGACCAAGCTTAAACATGAGCATTAAGACCACATTTTACATGGGAAATATTGATAAATCAGGCGTCTGTTTGTCCATCCTAACAAAATTATAGCCATCATTGTATGATTTCTAGAAAAAATCGAAGTCGATCAGTAAACATGACCCACAATAATCCAGTTGAACAGCTCCTGGGGAACACTAAAGTGATTCGAAAATTCATCGTATATTGAATTCCTGTGTGAATAAACTATATGAACCACTGGTGGAACAAATTATGCTGTTGTAACCTTTAATGTAACTCCGAAAATTCATTGGAAAATAACTACTTTCTTACTGCATTTTCCAATCACGAAGTCCATTGGCGATACTCTTTTAGATGATCTCAGAAACACGTACTATTTTAATGACATTTGGAGAAATTTAAGAATGTACATTTAAAATAAATATAACTTCTATTGCAGAAACAGTTGGCATTAGCTGTCTAACTACCTAAAGCTTTATGTCAATGAAAAGTTATTATATTTGTGTATTAAGCGTAATTGTTAGTACATATGTACACTGTCTTCTTAACATCCGGATGACTAAAAGTTGAAATACCACTATGAGTATAGTGAAAGCTATTCGGTTAAAGCAAACTTGACTTATGAATCAAAAATTCATCCACATGACAAATGATTTTGATAGCAGTTATTGCATGAGTAAAGTAAGTATTCTCACTACTTAATGTGTTATATACTCATTGATTAGCTAAAAAACATGATGCCATTTAACAACATTGTTTTTACAAAAAGAGAATTGCCAAAGAAAACCCCATACATTATGAATAAAAACACGTATCCTTTTCAGCTTACTGAATGTATAGATGGTTACCCAGCATATAAAATCTTTTTTTAACTAATAATTGACATAATGCAGACGATTTTATGGTTGAGGCAGTTAAAAAAACAACAATTCCAGTTGTGGAACAAGGATGAAATTCGATAGTAATGATAGATAATGTCTAGCGGTGCAACCCAGAACGCCCAATTCATCTTATTTGGGACCCGTCAGCTGGATGTACTATGCTCCAGTGAGTGGTGTTACTTCTATTAGGATTGGAACGCAAGAACAATTGCCTCAAACTCCAGAGCGCCATCCATAAAAAAACGAGTATATATTCTCGGTTTGTAAAGTTTCTACAAATTTCTTTTGAAAACTACTTTACTATAGCAATTAGAATATTTTCATTCTGTGTTTTATCTAACTAACCGTACTTCCAAACTCTCAAGGTAGTATTGATTTAAATGAGTTCTGTCTTACGCAACAAGAAAATAGTTTAAGTTTTTCACTTCATTCGTTGCATTTTTAGGTTGATTCACTTTTCCTGCCCTACTTGAAGTTGCGTTCATCTTGACTGTAGTTTCCTCATGACGGCAGTGACTGAAAACTATTGAAGTTATCACTATGACTTCCGCTATATTCTTTTTTCCAGATTTCGCATATTTCATCTTGCCTTTGGCTAAATCATAGATAAATCTTAAAAGTTGGCAAATATGTACTCGTCATTTTTGCTTTGAATGAATCATTTCTACAAGTCAAATACTATTCAGCACTACTTTTCGCTTTGGATTTTACTTTTCCAAGGGATGAAAAGAATAGTATTAAGAAAGACTGTAGGTGTTCACGTTAGTTGCCAGTCATTGGGCTGATTATCAATGAAAAACAGTCCACTAATAGGCAGTAACAGTTTACGATAAGAAAATGTTGCTTGATTTCTGGTAAAGCTAATAAGCAATGAACAGATGATGCATCTATAATATGACAACAATACAACATAGTTAGAACTATTCTGATATTAAAATGACTATTAGGAAATCATTGATAAGCTTTGTTTAACAGAGAAAAGTTCTTCAATAACTACAGATAACCTTATCACTCCAGCACCTTAGTGAATGCGAGTAAAAACTTTGTCAAGTTAAACTAGCTTTGTACAACAATTAGCCTCCTACTACATCAACATATAACATAAACTAGAAAAATAGCTATCCAGTTTAACAGAGACTAATATCTAAATGAATATGTAAATAAATACATTATGCTGTCAACAAAGCAACTGCGATTTGTATTACTAGAAAACAAATTGTAGAAGAATCTTATTACCGGATTACCATAATAAACGTCATCATAAATATATCTGTATTCTCATAGTTCAGGTGGTTAGAAGATCAATCGAAAGTCAATTACCTTCTCTTAGCATTTACTGTTAGTAAAGGGAATATAGAGACTGAAAATCCCCTAAAGTTGATATCTGTAGGTAAAATTCATTAAGATATCCTCAAAAGTAACGAGATATTTAAGTAAAGAGGTAACCTAATTATGCCAATGTCAAGATTCTATACTTATATGAGAACAACTTACAGAATCATAATATAATCAGTAAACCAACGTTTTGGACAACAAGTGCTCTATTTACTTTCACCTTGATTCCATCAATTTACATTCAATTTTGGTCAATATCTTAATCGCATCTTTGACTGAACAACAAGTAAAACTTGTCCTACAACTAGGTGGTTTGATAGGTTGCACAGTGTACACATAGTCTGGTCCAAATGTGACCGCACTTAATTAGTAATTATTCAGAGGGAAATCTATGCACCTGCACTGATAATTCTGAACAAATACTCAATTCATATCAAAATTCTTTCTTAAATATTTTCTTATTGTTCTACAGGTACGTCATTCTCATTCTTTACCTAGACTTTTATGAACTATAAGGATTATTCCTGAAAATTAATTAGTTAATATGGTAATTTAAATGTTAAAATTCATAAGAATTTGTTTTTATTCAACCAACAACTTTTTGGAATTGGCTACTTTGAATATTCATTTAACAAACTGAAGTAATTTGAAAAGCCAAAGGCAACCAACGTTTGTTTAGTTGAAATTGTTTCTGAGTACAGTTATTCTCAGAAGTTGAGTTTCTGCATCATCTCAGAGAATAACACAATTACCTTCAGATTTGTAAATCCCTTTAAATCAACTATCACAGTAAATAACATTGACTAACTTATAAGTTAATATTAAGTCACTAGATACGATGAAATAACTGTCGTTCACCTCTTATTCCATGGAAGATTCTAATTTGATATAAAATAAGCAAAGGTTTTCCCATGAATCCATTTTATCAAAGTAGCATATGTGGTGTAGGAGGTCAGTCCATCAAAACATCCCAACCTAAGCTTTCATACTCTAGTGTTCCTTGTCAGTAGTTGTCGCTAACCCTAGAACGACTAACTCTCCTTTAGCCATTCATATAAGCTTCCACATCCAGACAAGTCATCACAGGGCTTTATGCACAGCTTTAAGTGGGACGGACGTTGCGTACTGGGTATGGTGATGGTTGCTTATAGAAATATATAGAATTAGTATACACTATGGTGTCAAGAAAATGGATGAAATAATAACAGTCAAGCGTTCAACATCCCGGAGTTATGAATATGCAGTATTAGGTATTCATATTTATGGCAGGAACATGCATTTATAATGAAGAAATTACATCGAAATGTACAGCAAGAACGTTGTTTGTGAGTTACGGCTTTATTGAAAGTTTTGATGTTTTGATCACTGTTGATCAAAAGTATCTACTACAACTATCAATGGTGTATCAAAAGTTTAAGGGATCAATAAGTCTTAACTACAATAGAGTTCAGTGTAATCATGAAGACGCATGACTCCTTACTGTGACACTAATTTTTTTATTTCAAACGTCTGAAATTTATCCACTTATAGTTTACAGTCCATTTTTTGTATTGTAAGGCTTAGACTTCTCTACATTTCAGATTAGTTTCCATTATTTATTGAACAAATGGTGGTGCATATGTTGGTTTGCCAGAAAAAGAACGACATCTGAAGCAGAACAATATGGATCTATTTTATTCGTTTCTCATCAGCTGTTTGCAACCTGTAACATTATTTTTGGATAACAAAACAACATGAGGATACTTCACACAATGAAATTAAGTCAGTTGACAAAAGGCGACATGATGTGGTAGATTTTAGCACCTGAATAACGCTAGCGAGAAATGCTAAGGAGTTTCAAGAATCCTAATGGAAATAGTCACAAAGTGTTTCAGCAGTTATAAGCAGAAATTAAGCAAGACGATTAACAGATGTACCATTCGGCCAAGGGCAGTAGACAAGTTCTGCAATAACGTAATGAGTTAAACTCAGTTGATAAAAACTATCATCGTAATTTGGTAATCACACTGGAAGAAAACACAGGTTACCGAAGTAAAGAAATACTGGTGACTGCTTCTTTTTGAACACAATTTAGGATCAGACGCTTGATAGCCTTAGAACTGGTGAACTTCATAAGATTCTAATTCCTCTGTCTGTCAATTAAATTGGGAGGTTCTAAGGTTTCTACTTTGCATTCTGTTTGAATGAGATACCCAGCGATTACATTTCTGGAAAAACATTCTGCTGTGAAGCTTAAACACTTAGGTACGTTTTCAAAGTATTTAAAGTACTTCCTTTCCTTTTTTCATACAACATAAGCACACATTCTCATACACACAGTTAGACGAAATATAAGGAAAGAATATGTCGGCTTTTGATTGTACTAAAAGATAACTTACTCTGTAGAGAGGGATCAACTTGGCTTCAGGAGACATTCTGGTCAGTGCATTATTTAACCTTGTATCGATTTCTTTTCGCACTTTTGCTACCTCTAAAGTTGAGGTCAGTAAAACTTGGTCTCTCACTTTCTATAGTCTTGTGTAACTTACTTTCTTCAGACCTTCAAAGTTATTAATAAATTTCTGTGAGCAAATGTGCGTTATGGATTCTCTTCCTTCTTCATAATCTCTTCTTTCATTTTGTTATTGAACATATCCTCTTAACTCCGTATTAGTGTTTTGATCTATGATCACTTGTAACTAAATGGAAAAAACCTGCTAAAATTGAGGTACAGTCTATTCCATAGTCTTTTGATGAATGCAACTATTAACAAACTATTCTTTCGGCATCGCAACGAAGTATCTAGTAATCTAAACTTATCATTGGTTACAATACTTGTGGTAAACTTAATGTTTTCATGAACACCATTGAAGAATTATGCTAAATAGGATGCATGACGCAAGTCGTTGTACACGGTAAATATGTCATCGAATCAAAAGTTTAACTTTGTAATGTCAAGGTTAGCAATATGTGCATCTGCTTACACTGGGTCCAGTGGACTTTTTGCTGTTACTTCATCAATTTGGTGCCATAGAGGGTTATCAAAATGAAACCGGACTTCTTTAGTAAACATTATAATCAGTAGTCAGATTTTCGAAATTAGCAGAGAAGGGATGTTGGTGTGATTCTTAAAAATAATATCAAAACTCATGAATAACGATGCTTCTGAACAGGGAAGTGACGCAAAATCACGTCATAAACTTACTCAAGATGTAACTACCGTTTTCAACAAGTGGAAATGAATTCTTCAATGTGTATACAGCTAGGAGTCGACGGATAAACTTCAACTTTTATCCAGGTCAAAGACTGAACTTTAGATGGGGTGAGTTTATCATAAAAAGTTGAAGTGGCTTTTTTTGGTTGCCATCCTCCAGTTTGAATGTCGAGGATTAATTAAGAATTGGTTTAATCTTTGTGATGTAGTCTGCCTCATTCACTGAACATAAATTCAAAATAAAAATTGGGAACTCCTTCTACTCGGCAGAAATTAAGATTTTACTTCAAGTTGGTATTCATTACGGACTGATATAAATTGATGAATTATTGAACGCTTTGAAGCACTGAAGAGCAGTTTTTTTACAACGTGGTACTCCTTAACAGTGATCATTCCTAACCCCACTAGGACCTTCAGATTTTTTCAGCTAGCACGTTACCATACAGACAATGTGTGGTAACTCAACGATCCACTTCCTCTAACTCTTGTTAATCTGCCACATAGCTAGACCTTCACCCACTGTCATAGGCAATTATGTGTCTTCAAATCTGACTTAGTTTCCCCCACCGGTGATGACTTCTCACTGGAACCTCGGGAAATCTAGCCTCAAAGCGTGTGACTAATGATTACTGGACAGTAATTCGATTTAAGGGTTTGTGGGGATTTGTTTATTTCAAGGTGGTTTCATGATGAACTGACACCAGTTGGAGAACCATTGAAAACCTAGGAGAGCTAAACCACTGTTTCGTCGTAATATAAGACTCTACAACAATCCATACCAATGAATTTATTAGAGATTTTATTTTTTAATATTATCAACGAATTTCATCTCCTAAAATGAATTACTGGTTCGAATGACTTAAACAAATGTTTGCCCAAGCCGAAATCGTTCTCGTGTATAAGCTGTGATTATGAATTCACCATACAAAATGAAAAGCTTCGTTTTAATATCTACATTAAACTCCTCGTAAACTATGCTTGCTTCAAACTGAAATAGATTTCTGAACATTCTGTGAAGTAAAAATTCACTGATGATTCTTAGCACTTTTCCAGCATTCAACATTACAAGTGAAAATTATGATAGTCTACACAGAATCTTGGGTGCTACTTCACATCTCACATATATGATAACTACTTTTTAGCATTAAATGATTCATGTCATAGTTTTGTGAGAAAAACATGACACTGATTCATTAACTGATTGATTAGTAGCCTTCTAGGAGAAAATGTTTTTTAGATACATAGAAATAGGAGTAGATATATACTTCTGAAAAATGCTACACATATAATTAGGCCTCCCTGAATAATTGATGGATTAAGTATGCTATGTACCTGGATACCTGAACATATTTATTTGTTTCCCTATTCTGATTATTCAAAATATATTCAACAGCTTTACTATCCACAATGAAAATCGTTTCCTATCTCACAATTCTTCTTTCTGAATTCATAAGATTCTAACTATTAGAAAGAAATCTCTGTATAAGAACCTAGTCATTGACAAAATTAGCAATTTCAACGACGAATCCAACATTTTTATGCCAATGAACTGGTTGTATAAATGACAACGGGACACAAATGAAGAATATACGTTTCTAATTCTCAACATTCCATTGTTTCGCGAAGCAATTAAACTGTGCTACCACGAAATTACTGTTAAATAAGCAGGAATTACCAATCCTTTTCACTCATTTGACTCTCACTCTATGAACGTTTATCAGTACCAGAATTTCTCAAATTTCTGGACGGTCATAATGGCAACTAAAATCTTGACAGACAGTAAAATCCAGGAGATCAACTCACGTATTAACTTTTAAGTGAACATATTCACAACAATGGTATATAACAGACTTCTCTAGCACCTCATCAAACAGTGAATATACCCCCTTGATAATACTGCATACCCTAACGTGAACGGTTTTGAAAACGCATTGCCATCGGTCTGCAGTTCTTGAAATGTTTATTCATTTACACCACAATATCTAATCCCCACAGCGTAAATTTACATTGCTGTGAATAGATATTCACTTGGACTACATGATTACGGGCAAACTTACAGATCCCCCAGAAAGTCAGCGTGGTTTCTTTTCGTCTCTGAAGCTATAAGCACAATAATTCATGGTAAAACAGGCGTTCATCTAGTATAACGGGGCATTGCGAAGACGAATCAATCATGTCGACTGCTTGTAAAGAAAATTTGGAGTTTGCATGACCTTGGTGTCACCACTAGTGAAAAAAGAAAGTATGACTGAAAACGATCTAAACTCCAACACTCTGTATATGCTGAAAAGTGGTATTTTCTTGTTCATTTCATAGCTTGTGGAATATTCTGATGTTTTTAATGACCTCCCTTCCGTAACATTCAGTTCCGGTAAAATCTTGTACATCTTCCAACATATGTCAGTGTGATAATGCCTGCAAACTGGCTTCTCTTATGTTGAATTACTAATATGAGAATTATATATATGTAGTAAAAGTCTGGTTGTGATATTCTTGCTTAACACTTAATCAGCCTTACGTAAAGCAATGTACTTCAGTACCAATCTAAACAGTAGCTTAAGAGAGAAAGAGAAATAAGATAACACTTTATAGGATGAAAAGTATTCAGACAAATAGTTAGGTTTTTAGTCAGAGATAAAGAGGTTATATGACGGAAAGAATGTTAACTTACCTGTTTATGGATGGCTAAGTTAAGGACTGTAAGCTTGTTGCTGCTGACCAGCACAAAAAGAAACCAATAATGGTTAATTTTGACGGGTGGACGCTTACACGCTAAAACAAACAGAATTAAAGTTGCCCGTCTACGCTGTAAAAGATTATTTAGCTATTATTTAGATATTTTCAATGTTTATTTTTTTTTAAACCTGATATTATTTTGGTTCTACTAAGGTTCACTACAATACTATAATATGTGGACTATTGAATCACAACTTAATAACCAAATTCTAACTTACTCTTTGTAAAATCGAATGGTTTTAAACTCAACTTGGAATAGATTCAAGTTGAAATGCTAAGAAGAAAAGGAATTAAGATGCTACTGAAATATTCCTGATATAATTGCCAATGTAGCTCAATGGTAACATACTGGTCGTGGACCCTGAATATCCCAGGTTCGACCCTCGGTGGGGTCATGGGTGTGCACCGTTTAGGGGCCCCATACTAGGACAACAAACCTGTTCAGTGCTCTCAGGTTTCCAATGTTTCTCCAACTGATGTCAGTCCATGATGAATTTCAACGTAACAGTTCTATTTAAGCAACAAATGCATCAATATCTCAGTGCCTTTTAATCCATACAACAAGTTTTATAACATCTGTATATTTTTATTTTTCTTAGATTATTTCCTAACCTATCGGCTGTATTCGAGAATAAAAGAATGAAACACCTGATCATACCGTATTATCTATGATGATCGTATTATTCTGACTTTTGAAGCAAACACTTTAATTCACCTATTTACTCAAGTAACCATGTAAGGCGACCTAATATCTACAGACGCTAATTATCTATAACTGAATAACTTACAGCATTTATTAAGGAGTCTTGCTTTTTACGACCTAATACACACGAGAGCTATGTGTATACTATAAGTTCAGTTAAAATTTTGCCTTATGCACTAAAAATCAATCAAAAGGTGTTTGACTTTGTTTTTGATCGACTTAAAAGTATGACGACCTCAGAAGATTGTTTACCGAATATATCACAACCTGGTTGATTAAAGAACCATTTAAGAAAGTTTCACATTTCCGCCTTTTACTAATTTCGAAAAACAGCTGATTGGACAAAGAAATATATTCTTTTTCAATTAGGTATTCGTCTTCTCCTCTACCCTATTATACAGATTTACAATTCAATCGAAACATCAATCAAGTAGTGATGAGGGATTAATAAACAATAATTACAGATCTTAATTGAGTCGTAAAATGATAGATTTGAGAAATCAAAATGCAAATAATCAACAGAGTAATTGTATGAAATTAAAATGGTAGTTATAATAGTGTAAAACAGGTTATTCTCAGGCAAATTGCACAGTAACTGGTAAACTAAATGGGGTGTTTTTTTGTCCAAAGGTCAGTCATAAGTAATATATAATTACATAAGAATAATAAAATAAATGAATATTGCAAAATTCCCCATTTGGGTATTTAGAAAAAAATTGTGAGCAAGGAAATATTTCATTTCAATTAGTTCCTAAATAAAAAGAATTATATCTTTGCTCATATTGTTAACATTACAAATGAATGTTGATAGAACAAGAGGGGAAAGAAGTGTACAAAGTAATACTAGAAGTTACATAATGTTGACCAGCACAGTAATGCAAGTCGCTGAACAGTCTTCTTTTGAATACCGAAGTGAAGTTTGTAAAGGTGGATTGCAATCGCCTCTGCTACGTCAAGTAAGCGAATGCGTAATCTATGTGGTAAATTGATTGTTATACAATGAATAATTTTAAGTGCTTTTCCAGCATCCACTTAATGTTCACTATCAACTAAGTGTGCAAGAATAGAGCTCTCTATATTTCTATTCTGCCTCTTATTCAACAATTATATGTAGTGCTCAGAAATTCCGCTATGGACATGCTTCATTGTACTCTCGAAGTAACTAGCTCCACTGATAAACGTAGATGGAAGTGGCAGAATCAGGTAGTTTATCTTTATTTCTTCCACCTGAAGTGGTATGGTTTTGAAAGATGTAATATAAGTTAGCGGCTACGATGACTCTTTGGAGGGCTTTTTTATGTGTTGTTGATGACCACACTAACATTGTAACCCTTGAACTCGAGTTCCCAGGAGATTTACTTCTTGGACACTTGACATTCTTGTCTTGACCTACGTAACAATGTTGGTCAGGATACCTTTGAATTAATATGTTTAGTTACAAACTTCGCTGGATAACTATTCTTTCCAAGCAGGTCACGGATGATGGCAAACTCTTCCTCTATAGCATTATCAGAAAAAGTCGCTGTGGCACGGTATACTAGACATTTCAACAGACTGTTCTTGCACTGGAGGAGTATGGCACTACAGAAATGCGTGTACTGACCTGTTAATGTTAGCTTTCTATATATACTTCGTTTCAGAGTTCCATTTAACCTTCTCAACAGTAAACCATCAAGAAATGGGATACCGTCATTTCTTCTACTTTTGTTGTGAAGTTGATTTCTGGATGAACACTATTAGCTTAAGAACAGTATTCTTATCAATCTCATTTCTGAGAAATATAAACGAATTACGCATGTAACGACCAATCAGTCTTTTTTCTATACTTTCATTGATACTGAGTACCGATCGTCACAGATAATGCTTTAAGCATCAGTATTGAAATAAGACAAAATTCTGAGCAAATCACTATCAAATTGTAGTCATCTAACGCACTGCACTGCATAATCAAGTCAGTTCAACGTGCGATGTTACCTCCTTGTGTCTTCATCTTACTAGTGTTACGATCGTGCAATTGTGGCAAGTTACCTTTAACAACACAGTTTTCTATTTGACTAGACTTGTACTCAAATGCAGTAAACATAATTTCCGCAATATATAAACTGATTACGAGCAATAATTTACACTCAAACTATGTGTAGGTGTGTAAATAAAGCTTATGATAATTAGCTCATTTCGTTATCACATTTATTGCCTGCATAATTATGATTTGTACACCACATATGTTAGACTGCTTCACTGTGGATTGAAGAAACTTGGTAACCCCATTATCAGTTAATACACAGTTACATCATGTACAGATGGATTTGAAAACAATCAACTCTACAGATATAGATTTAAACATCTATCAAAATACATCTCAGTATGTCTACATAATTTTATATCCTTGCTGGATATAAGATTATTTGTAGTAAATTACTTTATTTTCTCACAGTGTTAGACTTTACCGCAAACGATAAATGGTTTCTCAACATCAGAGCGAATAAACAGTTATATATACAACACTGACTACCAACCGAGGGACAGTGTATAACAATATCGGCTAATTCAACTTGGTGACAGCTCCATAGAACATATAGCATGACATCTAGTACTGTTAGTCTAACAGTAGATGTCATTTTTTACTGTATCAATCCTTTATGAAAACTGGTTAATTCAAATGGAAACCTTAAAATAAGTAAAATCCGCCTTCTTTGTGTAGGCTGGTAGTGGAGTCCAAAATGCACGTTTTTTCCCGTTTGGGACTCGTCAGCTGAACCTACCTGAATCCCAGCAAATAATAGTATCCTCACTTAGACATTCACCCAGCACCTATCGCATTAAATTCTAGAGCACTATCTACCAGGCTTCTGAGTTACAATAACTACTTCTTGTCCACCGGGTTTCATCTGTTGTTAATTGGCGGTTATGATTTCCCGTCGATAATGATACTCAATTAAATTCATTGATTAAACAATAGACAACATTTGTTTAACGGTGCTCAGCAGGGGAATCCGGTAAACAAAAGGTTTTTGTAACCATAAAAGGGGAAAAAAAAATTAAAAATTTTAGTTTGGAGGTTTGTGGTGATTTATTGATTGATTTCAGCTTGATGTTCGTCATGGACTGACACCAGTTGCAGAAACATTGAAAACCTGGTGGAACTAAGCAACTGTTTCGTCATGGCACGGTATTCCTCTGCAGTGAGTATCGTCGCCAAAACCAACGGTCAAATCTAGGACTTTTAAGTTTCTAGCAGAGCACGTTACCATTGAGCTAATGGGTCAGCTTTTTCCTACTTCCGTTAGATTACGATATAGCTTAGCCTTCATTTAATGCCATCGTTGAATATTTGTCACCGCGTCCTGCACTAGGATGAAACAGCTGTCCAGTTCTCCCAGGTTTTCAGTGGTTCTCCAACTGATGTTAAACTGATCAATACCAATTTGAAGTCAATAAATCGTTACAAACCTCAAATTGAAGCATGACTGATTAGAACACTTTCACGTTCTTCACAGATAAACACCTTTCTGAAACAATTTAATTATATTAAGTATGAATTACTCGCAAAGAAAGATTTTTAGTATCATCCCATGAAGTAGATTTTCAACGTATATCCTTAACACTGGACGCTAATTTATTATTTATGTAGTGCTATTTAAAAATATAACAGTAATTAGAAAACATTTTTTGTAAAAGTATGAAATGGAAATACTTCTGTAATACTATAAAATAAAACAATCTGTTTAGCGTCTACCATAGCCAGTTGGTTGTTTAAAGGCAGTTGCTTTCAGCAATAAATATAATGGTGTTACTGGTTAAATGATCAATGGATAATAAAATGAACTGAATATCTCTCTCACCACGTAGTTCACCAAAAAAATAAGAAGCTCTTGGTTTCATCGGCAAAAAATACGTTAGCATCACTCTGCTTGTTGTTTAGTGATAGATGCTAACAATCAGCTTCTAAAAAATTGGTGAAATTCTTTGTTTCATCTGTATCTATGATTTGCATATCTTCTAAGTCAGGTTCATTTCTTCATTGATATGAGAGTTGAAATTTTACACAAATGCAATTAAAAATGAATGTAATGGCTGCCTAAATCAATTTTGTGTTTCTTTAAATTACGGTAGTGTTTCACAGCAAATATCCAGTATGTATTTGTTTCTTGTTGTATTTGTTGCCTAGCATATATACTAGTGAATGTCTTTACTCTGCACAGTTCTCGAATAGCATCAGTAGTCCAGTTGTTCTTAACATATTATAGGATGACTGCACTTATAGTTACAATGCATAATATTCTGAC